CAGCAATATCTCTTCAACTCTGTTCCGATTGGCCGGAACCCCCATGGCATATTTCTGTTTCTCTTTAATTTGTAATTCCATTAAATCGCCCTTAAAAAATTAGGGAGCCCTAATTTTGAAAAACTGATAACGGAATTCGACAACCGACATGATTTAACATATTTTGGTAAAAACCGCGTTGAAATCCGCCAGGTCGTTTCCGAAATAACCGCATCCTACTAAACCGCGATTTTCCGCGAAACTATATGGAATATCGAAAAAATAAGATATGCACCACATTAAGAACACATCGGTTTACCACCAGTTCAAATTTCAAATTTTTTCGTCAAATAGTTTTCGAGAAAAAAAATCGCAAAGTTGACAAAGTTGCCGGCACACTCAAAAATCGGGTACTTTTTTCATTTAACTCGCGATAAAAAGAAAACCGCGGATCCGAAAATTTTCAAATTAATATAGGTTACGTAGGAATGTTCAGTGATTACAACAAACTTTGTCGCAATTTTTTTCATCGATCGGTTGCGAAGATATCGATCTCTATAGTGAGGGGACTTGACTTTTTGCACGGATAAGTAATCTGAATATTCTGCCGGCGCCGAGCGAATAAATTTTTGCGAAACGTGCGGACGGCAAAGTGTTAATTATGAAAATATGCTCTATAAAAAATTGGAATTAAATATTAAAATATGGATATCTTTTAAATCTGTAGGTGAGGTAAATGAAAAATGATTTCTATTTATACAGGGTGATTCAAAAAACCGCTGACAGACTTCTAGGGCAGGTAATACATCAAAAATTAAGATGAAAAGTCTTAATATACATGGGGTCACAAATACCTCCTTAACGAGATATAGCGGGTCAAAGTTTCTTTAAAATTAAACATTATCTGCAATAAACAGCCCTTTTTTAAAAATATTTTCAACTCCACTGCTAATTTTGTTAAACGTGCAGTATTTTCGTATAAAATGATGAATTATCTATCAATTGGTCTCTTACAAAACTTTGATTAAAGGAACAGTTTTTGATTGGATTAACAAATTTTCTACAAACGTGTTTTTCTTAAAAACTATTGCTTTGATCAAAGTTTTGTAAGAGACCAATTGATAGATAATTGATCACTTTACACGCGTAGAGAGCAATGGCGTAGACAATATTTTTTAAAAAGTGGAGTAATTTTAAAGAAACTTTGATCTGCTATATCTCGCCAACCAGGCATTTGCGACCCCATGTATATTAACCCTAGAAAGATAACCTACGTCGAGTCGACGTGGTCGATTGGTTATCTTTAACGTACTATAAAATATGGTTATCTTTCTAGGGTTAAGACTATTCATCTTAATTTTTCATGTATTATCTACTCTAGAAGTCCGTCAGCGGTTTTTTGAATCATCCTGTATACACGAGATATTTATTAGTTTAACTTAAAAAAAACTAAAAGACAACAGAAAATATTGAACAATATACAAAAGGTAAATAGAAAAAAAAATAGAAAATAAAACAGAAACAGATTTAGCTTACATTTTTTTTGTCAATAAATCACTAACATCTCACTTAAATTATCAAAAAGAATATATATGAAGAACTTATACATTAAAGAACTTCATTTCACTTCCACTGAAGTTATAGGTGCAAATTTAAATGATAGTGCTTCACTGAGGTTATTTCTGCGGATCCTTTACTCAAACATATAGATTTCTTTCAATATAAAAAAAACATGATTTTTTGAAATAACCATAGCCATTTTTTCTTTACTAACTTACCAGCTTCACTGTTTATGCCACTAATTAAGTCCTGAGCTTATATCACTATTTCAAGCTGTGTAGAGAGCGGAAGCCCAGTTGTTTCCAATATTTTTATTGATACGCTAAGGAAGCCATAAAGTAATGCAATGAAAATCAAATCTGATTTTATTGTATTATCATTTAGTAAGTCATTTAAAATTTTAATTGACGCAGCGGCCTCTTCATCTAATGCATCAAACACATTCCTAATTATTTCGAAGTTAGTGGCATAGTAGTTTGCCGCTTCAATCCATGTTCCGCAACAAGTAGTTACTGGTTGTCGAAAAAGAGCAAAACAAGGCACTTTTTCGTAAAAAATTGCTACTCTTGACGGCGCTTTAAAAAATACTTTTGTCCACGACTACCTAATAATATATACCTTATGAATGAGTTTTCTAAAATAAAATGGTAGTCATTTTTCACGGAGTGAATAATAGCGGTGAATAATAATCATTATCCACGGGTAGCCATCTTGATCAGACTAATAATAATTATTTGAAACGTTAAAAGTTCAAAAAACGTCAATTTAATTCAATTTTTTAGGAGTTTCTAAATGTTTGACATTAAAAAAACCTAAACAAATTCCTTTTTTCGTACGATTTAAGCATAAATTAATTAATTTTTCTAAAGAAAACGACGTTTTATAAAACTGACATTTAATTTTGACAAATTGTTGTGAAGTTGGTTACAGTTAGTAACATTGAATTTGTGTCACATTGACGTTTAACCTTTATTCAAAAATTTATTTAAAAAATAAATTTATGGAATCAATTTCAATAGTCGTGGACAAAGTATAGTATTCTACTCGCATATAATGAGCTATTATTCACTAAGGTTAATTTATGCCACTCGCTACGCTCGTGACATAAACTTAACCTTCGTGAATAATAGCCCTTATTATATGCTCATATAATAATATACTATTTTTAAAGCGCCGTCAAGAGTAGCAATTTTTTACGAAGAAGTGCCTTGTTTTGCTCTTTTTCGACAACCAGTAACTACTTGTTGCGGAACATGGATTGAAGCGGCAAACTACTATGTCACTAACTTCGAAATAATTGGGAATGTGTTTGATGCATTAGATGAAGAGGACGCTGCGTCAATCAAAATTTCAAATGACTTACTAAATGATAATACAATAAAATCAGACTTGATTTTCATTGCATTACTTTATGGCTTCCTTAGCGCATCAATAAAAATATTGGAAACAACTGGGCTTCTGCTCTCTACACAGGTTGAAATAGTGATATGAGCTCAGGACTTAATTAATGGCATAAACAGTGAAGCTGGTAAGTTAGTAAAGAAAAAATGGCTATGGTTATTTCAAAAAATCATGTTTTTTCTGTATTGAAGGAAATCTATATGTTTGAGCAAAGGATCCGCAGAAATAACCTCAGTGAAGCACTAGCATTTAAATTTGCACTTATAACTTCAGTGGAAGTGAAATGAAGTTCTTTAATGTATAAGTTCTTCATACATATTCTTTTTGATAATTTAAGTGAGATGTTTGTGATTTATTGACAAAAAAAATTTAAGCTAAATCTGTTTCTGTTTTATTTTCTATTTCTTTCTATTTACCTTTTGTATATTGTTGAATATTTTCTGTTGTCTTTTAGTTTTTTTTAAGTTAAACTAATAAATAGCTCGTGTATACAGGTTGATTCAAAAAACCGCTGACGGACTTCTAGAGTAGATAATACATGAAAAATTAAGATGAATAGTCTTAATATACATGGGGTTTTTTTTGTTTTTGATATGTAATATCCATGATATTGTCAGCATTCTACGGTAGACCCACATCTCAAAAGCTTACAATTTCCGCTCATAATACACATTTGAGCATCCGACTACAGAGCAGCTTCTTGATTTTCATAAAGGATGCATAGGCTTTCTCAATGCGCAACTTTATTTCCGAACAGTAGTCTACAGAGCAATTGGCATTCGCACCCAGGTAATCATACCTCTCGACTCTTTCGAGCCTTTCTTGCCCTGCGTAGAGATGTNCTACCTATTGTCTTCGCAGCTGCCTCAACCTGGTTAAAGATGATCTAAATCAATTATTTCGTTAATGTAATAATAAATAGATAAATAGATGTCAAGGGGATTAGGGTCAGGTGACCGAGGACACCATGAAACAGGACCACCTCAACCAATCCACTTATTTTTAAACACATTATGTAAATGTTGGCGAACTAAACGATTAAAATGCGGCGGTGTGCCATCTTGAAGAAACCACATTAAATTTGTCGACGCACATTCAAAGGAACTTCTTCCAACAGTTCTGTCAAATTGTTTTGCAAAAAGAGATAGCCATTTCCAGTCAATCGATTTGACAACACAAAGGGGCCAATACGTTGTCCATTGACAGAAAATGATTACGACGAACAGCATGTGGATTTTCGACAGCCAAGATATGAGTATTATGACAGTTATTTATGCCGTTATGTATAAATATTGCTTCATCAGTCGCCAATACAAGTGAAGAAAAGTTTGGAATTTCAGCGTGTTTTTGTAGAAACCATTAGCAAAATTGTAAACGTAACGGCTGATCTTCAGGTTGTAAAGCCTGTACTTTTTGTACCTGGAAAGGATACAGTTGATCCTCGCGCAATTTTCACCAGATAATCCGATTTGAAACATATAATTGGCGAGATATTTATCAAGTACTACTAGAAAAATCGTCTTCAACAAGATTTAAAATTTCTTCTTCGTCATCCAAAATTCGTTCGTGTCGGCCAGGTCAATGGATGTTACCCACTCAGATTACAACACTCGCTCGCTTCGCAAGTTTATCTTCGTGGGTAACAGCCGCCATTATACGCTTGTTGAATAATATACTATAATCATCAATTAATTTGGAGGTGTTAATAATCAGATATTGTTTTATTAAATTCTGCAGTAAATTAATTGCGATTCATTTTATTCATACTGGCATAATTTGTTTTTGCTTAACTCTTTTTATTACAAAATTATTCAAATATCTTTTAATTTCAAATTTGAATAAATTATCTATTGTTATTTGGGTAGTATACCCATATTGCCAATTGCACTTTTAGATATTTTCATTATATACACAAATATTTATTTTATTAAGCTAACATTAATATTAATCAAAAGAAATAATTTATTTCTTTTCCTTAGTAAATTATAAAGAAATTTTGATTGAAAAGTAATGTGTGTTGCCTAGCTTTGCAATATTTTCATAAATCGATTTTGACGTTCGGAATGACAGCTGATTACTAAAATGGAGGTTACATCACTGCTTTGCGATTCTTCATTTTGTCGTTTATGCGGCGAAGAGAATCAAAATACAAACGAACTCTTTACCGGCGAAGAAAACAAACAAAATTTAAGCGAATTAATCAACAGGTATTTACCGCTTAAGGTAGGTTTTTAACAGCATTAATATCTATGCAGTAAACAACTTGATTTCCTATTGAAAAGGTTTTCATTGGTTAAAAATATAAATAGCGGGATATGTAGCATTTTGAAATTCATTTTAATTGCTTGTTAGGTGTGCGAGGATGGAAAATATCCAAAAGTAATTTGTCCTGGTTGCAACATACAACTAGAAGCAACCAAGTTATTCTTCGATTTAATTATAGAAGGGCAACTAAAACTCAGGGAATTGCTTTCAAAGCAACAAGAAACTATAAAAAGACAAGAAAAACAGAGGTTACAGTTAGAAAATGCTTTAAAATTAGTTAGTCCTAGTTCTACCGTTGGTGCTTATAGCATTCAAGAAGATGCTGACGGGGAAAAAATTTTGATACAAAGTAATTAATTAATATAGGTAATTGATTGTATCTTACAGTAATCTATTTCGTTTTTTAGTTGTTTCAGAAGGTCCACTTTTTCCTAACGACCATGAATTGTCATTAAAAGTGGAAGGATTAGAGAAACCGAAACGTAAAAGGGGACGACCACCAAAACAGAACTCTGAATCTACGGATGATAAAGAAAATTCTACAACAAAAACAACGGAATTAGAAAATGTTGAAGAAATTGATGAAGAACTTGATGAGGATGGAGATGGAAGAAGGAAAAGACGGATTAAAGTACCAACACGATTTCAAGAAGCTTTACAAGTAACTAACAATATTTTATTAATAATAAATTGATTAATCTTTTGTTTATGTTCTTTCGGCTTATAACAAGACATTTACCCTCAAACCGCCAAGAAGGACTTATTTATGATATTTAGAATATATTTGGCGTAAAAAAATAATTTATTCTTTGAAGAAAACAACAAAAACAAGTGTTATTCTAAGAAAAATTAAATAATTATTAGTTTGAATGTAATGAATTTTCAGACAGCTCTAGTAAAGTTTCCAAATCACTGCATTCAATCACTTCAATATTCAGAAAGGTCTTCATTAACCTCCACATTGGTGGCAGAATGTAATAATTTTAAATTATGACCAATGAAAGTTATTTTACCAGCTCGCTCATTCAGCTGTAAGCTGATTTCTTTTCGCAGTATGAATAAAGCTGTAGGTGGTGATCTTGATCGTTAGTTTACTTAATGTCGACCCACAACGAGTCCCCTTCCACCATACAACAGGATGCAGTTTTTGCACGGATTTTAAAACATACAGTTTTCCAAATAATCCTTCTTTAGATCGATGCCATTACCTCTGCAGACTCATCTGGATTTGTTACAGAAGCCGTATTGTCCATAAACTCTGTTCCTTGCATTTGTTCTTCTCTATGCAGATGATCTCCATTAAAATTTGGATCTAGAAATATTTGCAGTAAGGTGGATTGGATTTATTGCCATTTGCTTTCTTTGGGAAGATTGTGGAACAGAAGAAACGTATAGATATGCTGGAAAGAGGTACAATATAAAAATGAAAGGAAATTAAAGAAGAGAGATTCGAAAGTTTCGAAAAGCGAGAGAATGATGATATTGATATCACAAGGTGAATAGAGCATATAAAGAAAACAACAATAGGCCAATATTAGTAAAACTAACAAAGGAAGGCAGAAGCATGGATATCCTAAAAATCACTAAACAGTTGAAAGGAACAACCATATGGATAGATGAGGACTACTCTAAGAAAATTCAGAGAGAGTGTATGATTTGATGACTGAATTATGGAAACTCAAGAGGAAAGGAGTGAAAGTTCATTTACAATACAACAAAATAATTGTAAAGGATGAATATGGAAAATATATATGTAGAAAAGGAAAAAAAGAAACGTCCTACAAATTCAAAAAACTAAGTGTAGAAAGAAGAGGAGACTTTGCTGAGGATGGAAATGGCAGTAATATGAATAAACGTAAGAAAAAGCACGGAGAAAATAGGAAATTTATGAAGAGTTGGACGTTGAATATTGCAACTTTAACAGGAAAGGAAAGGGAAATAGTGGAGGAGATGGGGTTGGGATACAAATAATGGGAATTGGCGAAGCGAAAAAGAAAGGAAGGGGAAGCATACAATTATCAAACAATTAGAGTCTATACTTTTCAGGAGTCAGAAGCAGAAATGGGAATCAACCACAGACTAGTCATGGCAACTATTAATAATATAGAAATCGAAAGAGAAGAGATGAAAACCTACACGAAAATAAACGTCCATAAACTAAGGCAGGAAGAAGAAGGACTAAAATACCAAGAAAAAACAAACAACGAATTTCAAAAACTAGAACAAACAGAGAATTTAACAGGAGGAAAGGTGGAGAATTTTTAAAGAGATAATGCGAAATAATGCTATGGAGGTGTGTGGAATGAGAAAATATAATGATCAGACAAAGAGAACACACTGGTGGAATGAAGAGGTCCAACAGGCAATCAAGAAGAAGAAAGAGTCATGGAAGAAATACATAAGAACGAATTCGAAAGAGGATAGAGCAAACTATAGAACGAATGGAGATGTAGCAAAGAATATGGTAAGGGAAGTGAAAAAAAAGTTTCAAATGAAACAAATAAAAGCCGTCAAAGATAAAAACAACGAGATAAAGACGACTACAAGGGAAATTCTGGACATATTGGCGGATTTTTATGTAGAAAGGTTCGGGGATGGAAAACTGACACAAGCAATGGAGGAGGGAAGAGAAGGTGAGATAAGGGAAAACACTACAGACATAGCAACTGAAGAGATAACAATGGAAGAATTAGGAGAAGCAATGATGAAGATAAAAACAGACAAAGCTTGCAGCAAAGACAAGATGGATCCGGAGATGATAAAATATTTGGGAATAAAAGAGTCGAAAACAATCCTGAATGATTGGGAAGACAATATCATCTGACCAATACATAAACAAGGAAGCTACTCGAACTGTGAAAATTACAGAGCCATCATCTACAAGTTACAAATTATACACAAACATAATAGAAAAAAGGTTAAGAAGAGTAGTGAAAATAAACTAGAAAATGAATAAGCAGCATAGAGAGCAAACAAATAAATGAACGATAACATACACATAATCCAAAATATCATTGAAAGGAGAATAGAGATGAGCAATGAATTATACCTAATATTCTTGAAGCTTAAAGCAGCTTTTGACACGATTAACCGTAGTATTATATGGAAGTGTCTAAAACAACTAATGGGACCACAAAAACTAACAAAAATAATTGAAAACCTGTACAAAATAGTCAAGGGCGCCGCACAAATGAAGGGAGAAACATCAAAGACTTTTGAAATGAGCAAGGGAATAAAACAAGGCGATAGCCTAAGCCCCTTTTATTTATAATATTAATGGACGATATAAGGAATGACGAAATAAACTGGGAGTATATATCAAGAGATAATCAACAAAATAGAGAGAAAGCAACAAAACTGGTATGCCCACATATTTAGAATGGAACATAACACAATAGTAAAAAAGGTATTTGAAGCAAAGAATAAAGATAAGAAAATGAGGGGAATACCTATTAAGAAGTGTAAGGAAAGAATAGTAGAAGTTGGGAAGAAGAGAGGGAAGACTCTCCTCAAATATAAAGGAATTAGCCAGGAACCAAAGGGACATAAGGATCAGGAGAAGAAGAGAAAGTTTTCTCTTAACTAAACATTTTTTTACTTATCGTCATCGTGTTTTCACATATAATTTTATGGGAATGGCTGCTTTCGTGTAATTTCTTTCAGTCTGCATTTCTTTAACGTAGTCAATGAAATGTGAGAATCGTTAGTTTCTTTGATGACAGCCTTAACATCTTCCTAACAAATTGAATCCATAAACAGAAATATGTTTATATTTTCCATGAAAATATTTCTTGCTTTAACCATTGCGTTGGCATTGTCGGTTACTATAGCAAAGAATTTTTCAGTACCAACTTCTCACAAAATTTCATCGATTTTTCAGCAATATATTCTGCGGTTTGTCGACAAATATTTGTAGGGACAGTTTTATAAAACCCCGGGTTTGGTGTAATAATAATAGAGTTAAGTATGGATTCGTTTCTTTGGTTGCTCCAACCATCACACTGTAAGCTAAGAGTATTCGCTTCTCCATTTTTCATTTTAATGTCTGCATCAACTTTTTCATACCGGAGTCCAACAATTTAGTTGACAATAAATAACGTGAAGGCATTTTGAAAGATGGTCTCAAATGTTTGATTGCAAGTGATTATTTTCAACAATGGCAAATTGAAAATCAGTAGCATAAACAGCCTTAGCTAATAGTTGATCTAGCTTATGTTGTTCAACTTTTGATGAAACATCAATAAAACTATCGAGTGTGGAACTCGATGAGGGTCTATTAACTTCCGATTTTGATGTTGATGTGTCATCCACAACCATTTCATCGTCATCTCAAAATAAATTTGTTGAAAATAATTTCCCGAACACCATGCACGATGAGAAAATTACCTCGGAGAATTTGCTAGTGGGGAATATTTTCGAGAATATTCTTCTCTTTCATCTCTACTTACGGGCGATGCGCTGCGTTTGATATATCAACATGAAATCATCAACTTTGGAGAATTCTAACGCCTCGCCCGCAAGCAACCTCGGTGATTTTAGGCGATATCGTTTTTTGTATATTTTGGTAAAGATACAGTAGCATGTTGACATTAATACGAAACCGTCAGTTTTGGATATTGATCCTTTCATATCTTGTTAATCGTTCCTTTTATATCTTGATAAAGATACAAAGTCTCTAATAAGAATTTTTTTTTCTTGGTATTAAGGGTAAAGAAATGGATCGAATTTTTAAAGAGGAAGGGGTAATAGATGAAGATTCTTTTTCTGAAACGGAAGCAGAGTTAATTGAAGTAGAAAGTGATAAAGGAATTAATGAAATTATTGGGCACATGGAAGATAAAGATGGTGAGGATTTGGGTGAGCTAGTTGTAAGAAATAAAACAACGAATAAAATTAAATTAAGGCCGAAAAATAGTTTTGGTAAGAACTTAAAATAAATAAATTCTGATTTGACAACAATTTTGTTTTAGTTTCAAGAAAACGTAAACGTTACCAGTGCGACATTTGTGGTCGAATATTTTCCCATCCGAGTCGATTAGAGGTTCACAAATCATTTCATAAGAATGAAAATTACATGTGCGCTGCAGACGACTGTAATTATCAGGTTGAGACACGCTTAGAAATCGACAATCATCACAAAGAAACCGGACATTCCGGGTTTAGTATTATTAAATTAGAATCGAATGATATATCAGATGAAGCTGGGGACGACAAAAACGATGGAAAAAAAATTATTTGTAAAATTTGTAATAAGACTTTTTCGTGTAAACAAAACCATGAAGTACATTTTAAAGCAATTCACGAAAACCAAAAACCTTACAAATGCGAGAAATGCGATAAAACGTTTCCATATTTATCTAGTTTTAAATGCCATCTCCAACAACATACCGAAAAGATCTATCCGTGCGAAAATTGTACGAAAATATTTAATCATCCAAGCAGTTTGGTTTACCACCGAGAAGCGGAACATAATAACGGAAGGAGATTCGTCTGTTCAAAATGCAAGAAAACGTTTAAACACAAACAGCTGTTGCTACGACATCAATTGGTTCATTCGAATGTGAGACCACACGACTGCAAGTACTGTTCGGCAAGTTTTAAAACACGCGCGAATCTGTTGAATCATATGCCAACGCATACCGGTGAGAGAAAATATTTTTGTAACGTTTGCAGTCAAACGTTCGCCCATAAAACATCGTTAACGTTACATATGAGATGGCATAATGGTTCGAAGCCTTACGAATGCGATGTGTGTCAAAAGACGTTTTCGCAAAAAGGAAATTTAGCCGAACACAAACGGATTCATACAGGTGAGAATTAAGAATTTAATAAAAAAAAACACCTAAAGAAAAAGAAGTTAATTAAAATTACTAACTTATTAAACCTTGTGTGAAAATGACCGATTCACATTGATTCACATTCACAAATTATCTATGTAGTCTTTTATATAAAGCTCTTACTGATATTCGCAATTTCTTTGTAATTTTGCTATGTTGGTCAATATTTTCTCCATTTCTTTTTATTGAAAGAAATTATTTGTTGGATCCATTGTAACCACCCAGTAAACAAATTTGCGTTTCACAAGCATTTCTGATACATATTATTGAAACATGAAATGTTTCTTCGACATACTTCTGAAACATAGTTGAAACGTGTCTGAAACTGCTAATGTCCGGCCCTTTTAATGTTTCATTGAAACGTTTTTGCAACATACAGGTGACAATAACGGTACCTACATTACTAACCCAGTAAACAAATTTGTGTTTCAGAAACATTTCTGATACATATTATTGAAACATGAAACGTTTCTTCGACATATTTCTGAAACATAGATGAAACGTGTCTGAAACTGCTAATGCCCGACCCTTTTTATGTTTTATTGAAACGTTTCTATTGAAACGTTTCTGCAACATACAGCTGACAATTACGGTACACTACTAAAATGTTTCATTAATGGTTTTGAATTATTTCTGTAATGTTTTGTTTACATTTACATTACATTAATAGTATGTATCATAAACATTTAAAAATAATTTCTGAAAGGTTTCGTTGACGTTTCAGGGATGTACATATGTATGTAAAGATATAATTTCGTTGAGGTGTAGCGTCTGCATCCTGGACAAGATGCTCATACATGCTTCCTCAAAAGATATGCATATGCTGAGGAAGCATTTCTGAGCATACCACCCAGGGCGCAGACGGTGGACGCTGCAACAAAATCATACCTTAAGGTAGGAAAAATAATAATAGAAGTACGATACTTGTTACTTCCCAGTAAACAAATTTGCGTTTCAGAAACATTTCTGATACATATTATTGAAACATGAAACGTTTCTTCGACATATTTCTGAAACATAGATGAAACGTGTCTGAAACTGCTAATGTCCGACCCTTTTTATGTTTTATTGAAACGTTTCTATTGAAACGTTTCTGCAACATACAGCTGACAATTACGGTACACTACTAAAATGTTTCATTAATGGTTTTGAATTATTTCTGTAATGTTTTGTTTACATTTACATTACATTAATAGTATGTATCATAAACATTTAAAAATAATTTCTGAAAGGTTTCGTTGACGTTTCAGGGATGTACATATNTCTTCGGTTAAATTCAATCACAAGATTTAAGTCACCATTTTAAACAAGAATGTTTTTAGATAAATTTAAAAATAACTAAACCTAGTGGTGATATATAAAAAAACTTATACGAAACTTACCTGCGCCATTCTAAACCAATATTCGAGCCACAGAACAGATATATAGAAAACGATTCAAAGGAACTGAGAACAGAACTGAACAGAACAAAACACACAATAGAACAAGTCGTGACAAGACGCTGATGAGTCACCGCGTCCTGGAACATGCGCATACGTTCACAGGCGCTGATGAAGATATTCAGACATGTTTCAGACACATTTGTAGAGAAATGTTTCAAATGAAACGTTTCTGCTACATATTTTAATGATATTTCATAAATATTCCTACTGAGATGTATTTGATACATATCTTTAGATACGTTTCGTAACAATCGTTTCTGTCACGTATATGAAACGTACTTGTAAAATGTTTCATTTAATTCACTGTACGTTAAAATTGAAATGTTTCACAGATGTTTCTTGTTTACTGGGTAAAATGTTTCATTAGCGGTTTTGAATTATTTATGAAATGTAAATACGTTTACCAATCTATGAAAATGTCTCCTAGAGATATTCAGCTTTAACATTTTTCTTTCCATCTTATCTCACATCACACAAACGTAAAACTATATAATTTTATATGATTGATAAATTTAGCGGGAATCGCGATCTAACTTTATNTGCGTATAATGGATGTTACCCACTCAGATTGCAACTTCATCTTCGTGGGTAATTCGTGGGTAATAATACGCTTGTTGAATAATATACTATTAACCAGTAAAAGTACAAAATTTATTACTTTCAAATTATTTCTTTTTATGGCATCATAGGCTGCTAACTACAAGTATAATGAAGAAAACAGCAATAATTTATGATTTAATAATATCTGATTCATTATCAGCTCTTGCAACAATCTAGATACTTAACAATTTACATCATCATTTATTGAGAAATTGATTTATTCTTTTCAATTTTACAACTGTACATCATTTCGTAGGTTTATGTATTTTTTACAATTTTACCTGCCGATATTTAACCTTCCAGTACAAACGCTTACACAATCACATGTGGCGGACTGTGAGTCCGTAATTGCCAATAGAAGAGATCACCAGGCAAAAGATGACGTTTATTTATTTATATATTACATATTCGGAATACATACAGGGAGAATATCCTCAACAAAGCATCCTCAACGTTACTTACAAGTTATTAAACTCAAAATTTATTAATCGAATTTTTTTATTTAATTTTTTGTATTAAATCCATGCAACTTAACCCATTTACATCATAAGCTCAGATATTTGCGAATCAACTAAAACTAGAACTAACACTATACCTAACCAGGCTTTTATTTACTTGTTTTGTGTACACAACATTGCACAAATATCAATATTTATTAGAATTGTTATTATTTCCACAATATCGAACGTTTGTATTCATTTCGATATTGTCATTTAAAACAGCTAACGGATGGAATTCAGGAACCTGAATTAGTTTGAAGCTATTTATAACACAATAGAAATTCCACCTTTCACTTTTCTTCATAGTGTTGATGTTTAACCTAACCCCTCAAGTTACCATGGACTTGTTAGTTTCTCATGCAACTATAGGACAAACTACAGACTCGATAATAGCAAACCATGGTGTGAAGATGTTCGGGTTGAGGAACACGCTCACCATGTTAAATGGAGGATGACAAGTCTTGCTCCGTTACCTATATTGATTCGCCTTAGTCCATTTTGACGACATCATTGTCGTTAATGAATGCTACTATAGTAGCATTCATTAACTTAATATCTAGCGATAACAAAATATATTTTGTTATCGCTAGATATTAAGTCGGGATACTGGCAAATCTTTATGATTCCACATTACCTATGGCCTTTACAACCCTTGTTGAAATATTATTATTTATGTTATTTGGGTTAAAAAATGTACTCCTCACATTTCTTAAGCCATTTTGCTATTGTTTACGTAGATGACATTACAGTGTGTATCACAAACTGGAAAATCATTTTCATTCATCCGAAACCACCAATAGCTGCTTTGGCTATCTTTGTAATAATCCTCTGCGCTATTGATAATATTAAATCACGTACACATTCGTACGCTTTATAGGGCAGAGGAATAATCGACGATTTGCCCTAAAAACTGACAACGGGTCTTATTATGGATAAGACCATAATAACAAGAGTGTAAATTCCATACAGAACATGTGTCCGGTTATTAGAATAAGCGATTCTCATCGGCGGATTTTTAATCTATACGCAATTACTACTACTCCAGTCAAGAACCGATCATAAAGGCCGACTAGTTGCATCAAAGAGCTTCATGATCATACTACTGAACATTCGAGGTAAAACGAAACGTTACAGACTATTCAAATCAAGACTTGGTGGTTGGGGTCCAATAAGTGGTGCAACCTTATGTCATTGCGTCAAGGGGTGCTAGCCACGCAGCTGTCCGCGAAATAAGATTTCGATATCAATTTATGGGTAGTATAATTCGATTTCAGGGTTCCTTTAATCTTTAGAATTGCTATATTAACCAGAGCTTATTTAATCTAAACCGAAAAATACTCGCGGTCCTACTCGTGGATTATTAGCGGCTCTATCTGGGGAATAATTAATAAAGGCACCAGAACACTTTAAGAAAGCATATCAAGATGCCGTATAGCTGCCGAATAAACGCTGATATAAACAACGGTATGCTGTGACAGAATCCCAAAAACATTGTTTAGGGTCAACGGGTGTCACTCTCTAGACTCTAGACAACCATCGCTACCGCCAAACCCACTACTGGCGCATTTATACATTTTCCCAGAGCTATACGTAGGTGGTGCGAAATAATGTCATAATGTGAATTGGGTGCCATTTTGTTATAAATAAAAATTGGACATGTTTTCACGGAAAGTTTTTAGGATCTGGCGATCTGGCCTGCGATCATACCGCCCGGAACTTGCTGTTTCAAAATCTCCATATTTGCTCGAGCTCTAGACCAAACTTGCCACTAGCTCAGCAACTTGCCAAAAGACAACTCGTTTAACCCGTCAGCAGCATTCACCATTTACGATTAGTGTGGTGCCGTTGGCGTCCTTAAAATGATAAGGTCCAATTACTTTTTCACTGCAATTGTTGTACCAAACAGTTACTTTGAATTATTATTATTACTGAAGGAAACGGTACGTCTCATCACCGCGACCTACCTGTTCGACAGTGGTTTTCCCGGGACTTCCTGGGACTCAAACGGTTAAGGATTACTTCTGAAGGATTACCAGCTCTTATTCCACTTTTTATATTCAAACTTCTTTCTACTTTTTTTTGTACTAAATATTTCAGGGAAGGTTCAACAAAACGTTGTTTTGGCTGGATAAGAAAACCCTCATGTTACTGTAAGGGGTATTGTGTCGAATTTGGACATTAGTAAATCATTGGTTCACAGAATTTTAAAAACCGCAAAATATCATTCCTATAAAGTAAACCTCATTCACGAGCAATGAGTCGTAGTTGTTACAACAAATTTGCAACGACAACGAAGGCTTTGTCAAAAACAATTTTTTTCCGACGACAGAACATTTATATTGAGGGGACAAGCAAATAGAGAAAATTGTGGGTATTGGGCTACCCAAAATCCATATTGGGCAAGAAAGTCGCACACCCAATATCCACAAAA